TGGTGGTTCTGTATGAGAAAGTGGAGGGGATGAGATATTGGAAGTTGAGGGAGATGTGATAACAGGACAGATAGGAGAGGTGCTAGATATGACATCTGTGTAGGAATTGGGTAAGGCACATGCAGAGGACTGAGATGCAATGACTGATGGACTGGGAGTAACAATTGGTATAAGATTATTGACAAATAAGCTAGAAGCATCAGCAGAAGATGAGTTGGACTGAAACCAAGAAGTGTAGGGGAACTTATTCTCATTAAACAAGACATCCTTAGAGATGAATAACCTCCCATTGGAATTGAGACACTTGTATCCTTTGTGGTTTGGTGAATATCCAAGAAAAACACATTCACTGGATCTAAAGTCGAGTTTATGTTGATTGTAGGGTCTAAGAAAAGGGAAGCATGCACATCCAAATACTTTGAGGAATCTGTAATCGGGTGTAACTTTGAGCAGTTTGGTAAATGGCACTTCAAAGTGTAATGAAGTAGTAGGAAGGCAATTAATGAGATATACAGCTGATATGAAAGCATGATCCCAAAATTTCAATGGTAGGGAAGCATGTGCAAGAAGAGTAAGACCAGTTTCAACAATGTGACGGTGCTTTCTCTCAACCACACCATTTTGGTGATGGGTGTGAGGACATGCTAGTCTATGGGTTATGCCTAAGTGCTGAAGAAGTTGGGTGAAGGGGCGAAATTCACCTCCCCAATCTGTTTGGATGGCTTTGATTGTTACTTGAAACTGGTTAGAAATGAGGGCATGGAACTGTTTGAAGGTTGAAATAGCTTCTGATTTTTGTTTTAAAAGATAAATCCAAGTGAACCTGCTATGAGCATCAACAAAGGACATGTAGTAGGTGTATCCCATGGTAGATTTGATTGGGGCTGGACCCCATAGATCACTGTATATGAGGTCAAAAGGTTTGTTATATTTAGTTGTAGACAAAGTAGAAGGTAATCTGTGAGCCTTTCCCAAGCAACAAGCAGAACAGAAAAAGGAATTGTCTTTATTAGGAATGGAAATATTACAAGTTTGGAGAACATTTTTAAGTGCCTCATTGTGAGGATGACCTAAACGACAATGCCACAAGTTGTACAAGTAATTTGATTCAACTGGTGTGCTATTTACAGATTCAGTGGTATTAGCACACTGAGATTGAGCAACAATGGGCATCAAATCAGAAGACAATGATGAAGTACAAACAGAATTACAGACTGAATTACAAACAGAATGACAAGAAGACAATGAGTTACTATTCTGCCTAATTTGTCTTGATGAGTGAGGGATTTGAACACCATTGAACTGATACAGTCCATCAGTTCCTAATGCACCTTCAAGCAGTACCTCATGAGAGTCCTGTGATTTAACATAACATGAGAATGGGTGAAACTCAAAAAACACATTGTTATCTTTGGCAAATTTGCTAACACTGACTAAGTTTTTGGTGATAGAAGGGACAAGAAGTAAATTGTGAAGAAATAGATTTGTGTGTGGTTTGAGTGGGGATGAAAAATGAGAAGAACCAACAGCTCTAATATCCAGACCTTGGCCATTGCCAATGAAAATCTGATCAGAACCTGAAAGCTGAGAACTCTGAAGCAAATTGTTAGGTTCAGCAGTTACATGGTGTGAAGCACCTGAATCTGGATACCAATCCAATGTTGGTGCTTGAGATGGAGTAGGCAACAGTCCTCGTTGGAGTGTAGCATTGTGCTGTGAGGATGAATGCTGTGCTGGAAGTGAGGTAAGCATAATTTGTGGAGATTGAGTGCTGACAGGAGGTCTCACATACTGAAATGTCCTCTGGTATGAGTTTGTGTTGAAATATTGAGGTGTTTCTGGTTCAGGATGTGTAGGAGTGAAATGTTCATCAAACCTATGCCAACAATTATGAACATTGTGTCCAAACTTGTAGCATAGCTGACACTGAAGATTGCTACGACCTCCACGGCCTCTACCACGATAGCTTCTGCCAAATGATCTTCCTCTACCTCTGCTAGCAGCATTCGAGCCATTGTTGAATTGTTGATCAAACGCAGGTGAGGTCAGAGGAGCAACATTGCTAGAATTTTCATTCGGATTCGAGTTTGGAACTTTTTGAGAAAGATTTACTGTCATTGATTCAGACAACAAAGTTTCATTCTGTTTAGCTAGCATCATTTCATATGCTATGAGTTCAATTCTCAAGTCATCAAGAGCATATGGATTTTCTCGTGCACGAACTGAGGAGACAAAAGCATTGAATTCAGGTGGAAGTCCATCTAAAATTATTTCTGTGTGTTCATCTGTTGAGACTGGATTCTTGATAGCCTTTAGTTCATCACATAATGTCTTTACATGTCGAAGAAATTCAACCACAGATTTGTTACCTTTCTTGACAGTTCTAATTTCAGATCTGAGTTGGCGTAACTTTGAACGCATCATTCCATGAAAAAGTTTGTGAATCTGTTCCCAGGCTTCATAAGCATGATGAACTCCTAGAATTTCATTGAGAATCTCTTCAGAAATTGTTGACAGTAACCAAGAAAGAAGCATTTGATCTTGTTTGATCCAATCAGTGTAGACTGGATTAACTATTTCTTGAGTTCGATTCAGTTCTGATTCAAACTGTAGCGGAATCTTAGGATTGACAAGAAAATGATGCAGTTGATGAGACATGATAACCGGTTCTACAATCTGGCTCCAAAGCAAAAAATTCGTCTCTGTTAGTTTAACAGAGATCTGGTGATTAAACAGCAATGTAGTAGTCTTGTGTTCAGCCATTGAATCTTGAGATGGAGTTGCGGAAGACATGATGTGAGCTTGTATCAGGCCCTCAGAAAGAGAGCTCTGATACCATCAAAGAAATGCAGAAGAGTCGAGAGAATTTGGAGAGAAGAAGAAAGAGAGCAATTGCATTTTGCATGTGTTGAATGAATTCACAAATGTAATACAGGATATGTAGTTTATATTCTACAAGAATCATGAGTGACTCAGCACTCTTATGAGAAGACATCTGTTAACAGAAGCAGAACAGAAAGCTAACAAACTGACATCTGTAACAGAAAGCTAAACTGATACAAGCTTAGCTAAGCAAAAGCTAACTGAAGGCTACGCTAGGCAAAACTAATTGGAAGCTGCAGTGGAGCTAATAGTGCCAACTGGTCCCGTTGATATAGAAATCAAGTCAACTCCATCAGCAATTGCTTCATCAAATGCTGCAAGTGTGTCAGCATCATCACAACCAGATTTCCAACATATTTTGTACATAGCAATTCGTGCTGATGGAACTCCTCCACGGGCTGTTCCGCTGGCAAAGCCTAGTAGACTTGCATGGTTAACCAAGTTTCCAGCAATTGTTGATGTGCAGTGTGACCCGTGCCCTTCTGTATCCCTAGGAGATTTTATGTCCCCTTTGGTATAATCACTTTCGATATTAAAGTATTTTGCACCAATCACTTTGCTGCATATAATAAGTGCTGACTTGCTTTAATAAATTATACTTTTTTGGAAAGGGTTAAATTGAAATTTGTATTATATATAAAAGAGATTATTACTTGTTGCAGGTAAAGTTATGGCATGAACCCTTCCATTTGCTTGGTGGTGGACCAAATCCTTTGTCACTGAAGCTCTCAGACTCTGGCCAAATTCCTGAGTCTATTACTCCAACAATTATGTCACTCTCAATACTTGTTCTTTTGACTCGCTGGGGAAAGCCTAGGAAGTCCCACGATCTTGTTGTGCGAAGTCGGTTCTTTTTGTTTGGGAAAACAGAGACGACAGTGTCCATTTCTATTGCAATACCAAAGAAATTAACAGTGTGCTTTAATATCCGAGAACACAGTGTGTGAATATATTTTAAGCAATAGTGGGGTTAAAAGGAGATTATAGTACCTGCCATTCTTTCCGCCTCTTCTTCTGTTAATTTCATGACGAACCCATTAAAGCTCTTGTAGCTGTGAAGTATAGCTTCTGGTGCAAAATCACTGGTTTAATGCACAAATTGGATGATACTCTTCTTGGATAAGAAACAAAACAATAAAATATAGCTGTATTTTCATTATTGCAGTTAGGCTTCACACTATACTGTAAAAAACATATTGCATATGCGGTATTGTACGATTATTTTTGAAGTATTTCTAAAACTTCAAAAATGGATTAGACAATAGACATAATGTTCAACCTGCCAAGGATCTTTTGAGCCATGTCCATATGACGAAAAGGTAAGGATGTGGAGTCCATGTCCTTAGGATGATCACGCATGTAGACAATATAAGTCTGTAATCAGAAAATGATATGATCAAATTAGAGGGAGGAAATTTTGAGAACCATGAACGTCTTGATTAGCTATGTATTGTACGTAGTAAATAATAATTAATAAGAGACGTATATATGCATATATTTGCCTTCCGATCATTCTTGGAATATGCCTGATTAATTATCAAAATGCAGATAAGAATGAAAAGAAGGCATGGCCTTAAGGAGACCATATCTGCCTCAGGAGATCAAAAAATGACAAGAAGAAAAAAGCTTTGAGGAGGATTAGATGAATGTGACTATGCCTAATTACCCCAAAGAGTATTTATAGTGGAAGAAAGTGAATTAACTTTACTTCTGGCTTACAAGTTAAAAATCGATGCAAAGTAATAATTTATTCCATGACTAAAGTCCAAACCCATATAGTACAATTATATTGAGTATCCACCACCACTGTCTCAATCATGCTACAAGCATCCCCACCACCTCTGAAGCATGGACACGTTGGGAGAAAAAGTGTATCGGACACGTGTCGGACATCGACATGTTTGGACACACTCTGACACGTGTTCGACACGTGGTCAATTTTTTGAGACACGTTGACTAGGGAGACACGTGATTTTGACCGAATCCGACACGCGGTCAACGTATTGGAACACGTTTTGACATTTTTTGTAAAAATAAAATAAAATAAAAATTAAAAAAAAAGTAAAAATATTTAATAAAAGTTATTGGATTAGAACCCTATGTTCTGTCTGGACGGCGATGCTACCCTTTTCTTCTTCGTCATCTCCGTCGCCTCTCGCTCTCGCTCTCGCCTCATCTCTGTTCGTCTCCGAATCAGAAACCGTTCCTTCCTTTGATTTTGATTTCAACTGTTTAAGGTATGTAATGTTCTTGTGATTCTTTTGACCACAAATTATTAGAAACCGTTCCTTCTTCGTCATCGCCTCTGGACGCGATTTTGATTTCAATTACATGGCAGATATTCTTATGATTATTATTTATTATCCGTTCATGGCAACTATGCATACATAGAGTCGCTGTCACTCCCAAGTGAATATGGTGTCAGCATGAAAACACCACCAACAGAGACAAACCAGAAGAATTGTGGTAGGTAATGTTCTCTAATTCTTTTTTTTGTAACTTGTTCATCTCTGTATTCATCTTTCAACTGTTGATGTACAATTTATTATCTTAAAAACTAGTGATTATCAGTCTTGTATCTCTTGTTGCTTGGCTGTTGGTGACGAATTAAGATACAATATATGTGTCTGGAAATGGAAGTTACTGAACCTTGGAATTGTTTCTCTTTCAAATCCTTTGCATTGTACATTTTTTAATATATTATGGTAGAAGTTTTGGAGGAGCTGGAAAGAATTAAAGGTGGGGATGATAAGCCTAAGCATATAGAGGAAGCATATGTTCGAGGTGCTATGAACTCCCTGTGTAACATACATATAAATGAAGGGATTTCTTCTTTTCTTGTTTGGAGCCTCGGTGTCTTTCACTTCCTGTGCTCATCAATGCTATTACATAGCTTATCTATTTTAATTTAAGAAATACCAGAATTACAGACATGGCTATCATTTTGAATATATATATTAAAAATATTATTTAATATCAAAACATGTCCCAACGTGTCCAAATTTGACATTTTTTAGAATTAACGTGTCGTCGTGTCATGCCGTTTCCTGTGTCAGTGTCCGTGCATCATAGCCCACCACTATCAAACTAACCTTCAATTCACTTCTACTAATTTTTTCCCCTCGATCGTTGTTGTGACTTGTGAGAGTAATCACGTGAATACAGCTGCAACTAATTACATATCTATGTTTAAGAAGTGATTATTGTAAAGTTCGAACTTTATCTTTTACTTAGGATGTGGTTCGTTTAAGAAGTGCTTATTGTAAATAGAGGTGGCAAAGTGGGCGATCTGCCTCACTCCGTCCCAAAATGAGTCAGCCCGCTTCGCTTTTGAAAGTGGGCTGAAAAACTCAGCCCGTCTCGTTTGACGTTTGGGCGGGTTGGCCCGCCGGCCCGAGCCTATTTTACACTGACCCGCCTCGACCCGTCTATGTCCGCCAAAAAATGAGCTCGCCCCGCCTCGCTTTTGAGATGGGTTGAAAAATTCAGCTCGCCCTGTCCCGTTTGGTGGGTTGGGTGGGTTGGCCCACCAAGCCAAACCCGTTTTGCCGGCTCTAATTGTAAAGTTCGAACTTTATCTTTTGTTGGATAATTTATTAATAATGCAATATAAATGAGTAACTGTATATTACTTTACATAATTGGTTACACTTGAATTTGTATTTTTTTATTATTATGATGAGTGATATGTTCAGCACTTCTTAACTAATCCACTTCTTCCATCTAGTTAAAAGCAGGTCATATATGAGTAAAGAATTCACAAAGATAATATTTTTCATAGCCATATCCTAATTTATTAGTATAACTAAGGTTTGACCATGTAACTATGTGTCTACTTAGATATTACATTTTCATATATTGCTTAATGAACCGTTTAGGGTTTTTTTTTTTAATTTAGGGAAAAGTTCAAAAAAAAAAAGTCATGCAATATTATTTTAAATCACTTATATCCTTGTGCTTTTTTTAATTGACTAATTAACTCCTTTTTATTTTGTTTTATCCATATTTCTGCTTAACACTGTTAGAAAATTAACAGTGTTAAAGAGAGGTGTGAATGAAAAAAAATAACAGGAAATCAAATATTTGGGATACTATTTTATTGAGTTTTTAGTTCTAACTATTAGATTTGATGGATTAGGATTACTATTTTATTGAGTTTAATATAAATATTTGGGATATCTTATGTTTCTTTGCAAAATTTATGGATATTATAAGTTTAGTTTCATTTTTTTGTTAAATTATTGAATGTTAAATATAATATATACTACATAAATTAAAAATATTATTTAATATCAAAACGTGTCCTAACGTGTCAAAATTTAACATTTTTTAAAATTATCGTGTCGGAGTGTCGTGTCATGTCGTATCACGTATTCCGTGTCAGTATCGGTGCTACATAGCCACCATCTCCTTTCACTCACTCACTCCCTCTCTCTCTCTAAGTGATTTCTCTCTCTAAAAGGTTAGTTTTCAAATTTATTTAAATTTTTTTGCTTTAATAATTTATTTAATTTATTATTTTATGCATTATTTTATTTAATGTTGATATTTGAAACCTTAGGTTAGTTAATGTGTTAATTTTAATTCATGTATAAATGGTTAGGTGTAATTCATTTATTTTTTTATTTATGCTCTAATAATTTTTTACTATTATTTAATGTTGATATTTGAAACCTTAGGTTAGTAAATGTGTTAATTTTTTTGACGCATAAATGGTTAGGTCTAATTCTTTATTTTTTATTTATGCTTTAAGAATTTTGTAATATTATTTAATTTTAGTATTTGAAACCTTAAGTTAGTAAATGTGTTAATTTATTTCTTACATAAATGGTTAGGTGTAATTAATTTCTTTTTTAATTTGTGCTGTAATAATTTTATAATATTATTTAATGTCGATATTTGTAACCTTAGGTTAGTAAATGAACTAATTTTTTGACGCATAAATGGTTAGGTGTAATTCATTTATTTTTTTATTTACGCTGTAATAATTTTTTAATATTATTTAATGTTGATATTTGAAACCTTAAGTTAGTAAATGCGTTTTTTTTTTATGCATAAATGGTTAGGTCTAATTATTTAATTTTTTAGTTATGCGTTAATAATTTTGTAATATTATTTAATGTTAGTATTTGAAACCTTAGGATAGCAAATTTGTTAATTTATTTAACACATAAATTTCAATTCATAATTCGCTACCAGGTACAGTGAATTATGTGGGGTTTTGACACGTGTCCTGACATTGATTGGACAGGAACTGACCCAATTGACACGTAATTCGCTACACTGTGCAGTGAATTATGTGTCCAACAACATTTTTTCATATTATCATGCATAATTCGCTACACAGTGTAGCGAATTACTGCCTGCTTGACACGTGTCATGTTGCTGACTGTGCAGACTGAATCTTGACCACATAATTCGCTACCCTGTGTAACGAATTATTCCAACTAATTGTGACTTGCCACATCAACAAGCATAATTCACTACACAAAGTAACGAATTATGTCACGTAGCATTCTGAGAAATTTTACTGTTGACGTGGCAGTCTGATAAATTTTTTGTTGAAACGTAACAAAATGATCATTGTTCCGTGAGAAAAGTCTAGTGTCTGAGCTCCAAATATTGTTCACAATTATTTGTGGGATGTGAGGCTGTGCTATGTGCCTTTTCTTTCGAGTAAAATATCTTTTGTTGATCAAGAAATATTATGTTATTCAATTTAATTTTTTTTTTTAAAATTCATCCGTGATACATTTAAAATTTAAAATTTAAAATAGATTCATATTAATCCTTTTAAGAAATCAAAATGGATTTGTTTTTAATTTCAGAAGAATAACAATTTTTACTAATTTGATATATTTTGAATTTTAAAAGAAAAACAAATCAACTTTTTAAAAATAAAATTAAAATGAATTCTGTAATTTTTATTGAGTACCAAAATATACTTCACACTTTTCTTTATTACGATTAGAACCGTGCTGTATATAAATTCATTCGCGGAGGATGAAAGACTCATATCATCAATAGCCAGACTTTTCGTCTTTTTCCCTAATAATTAAAATAAAAAAAAAGCTAAAGGTAAATTGTTGATGGTATGATACAGGCTATAGCATTAATAATAGAAAAAAAAATAAAAAAATATCAATAAAAATTAAAAGAGAAAAATCAAAATGAATCATAAATGAGTTGCGATTACCGAATTTTGTCTCACCAAAAAAAGTGCATAATTAAATCTTTAAAATTTTTTCGAAAAATAAAAAATTGATAGCTGATAAGTGTCTAAGACACTATGTTTTATGGCTAAAAAGAGTTCAAATAATGACTAAAATAGTTAAAAATATAGTGTTAAATTAATAAAATAGTAAAACAGAATGAATTGTCAACAAATAAACAAATTCTAAATATTTGTTGTTGTTTCAGGTTGTTGAGACTGGAATACTGGAATAACAAAGTAAGAAAACAAGGCAACGAATCCGTGGAGCAATGGAAAATCAGAAATGAAATAATAAATAAAATAAAAATTGTAATGCTAGCAAAGTTGCTAGCTAGAGCTAGCAAGTGGGCGAGCAGCTAGCAAAGTTGCTAGCTAGAGCTAGCAAGTGGGCGAGCAGCTAGCAAAGTTGCTAGCTAGAGCGAGCAAAATGGCCAGCAGCTCGCTAAGGTCTTAGCATAGGCGACCGATGGAGCGAGCGGATCAGCAAATTAAAGCCCATATTTTCCCTTTAAATACAACGCGAAGGAAGCCGTAAAAATTCATTCTGGAACGCGAAAAAAGAAGGCACTCAGAGACGAAGCGAAGGAAGGAGCATAAGCGTAGCACTGGATCGTGGCAGAGGAGAAGGAATGAGTCAACTCTGCACCATTGATCATCACTTTTAGACAAGTTTATCATGAACTCAGTTTCTTTTACAGTAGATTTTAATTCCGTCGTTATGAGTATGTTAGGCTAAATTACTTTCAGTAGTTAGGAAGATACAGAACCAATGGGTTCTTAGTTGATGTTTGTTTATTCTTATGAATTACATTCTTGTTTCTAAATTATGCAATCAATCTAATATTTATGCTTAGTTTTATTTATGATTTGATCACTCGTAAATAAACACATGAGTCATATATGACAATAGGGATGTTGGTATGTGATTCTGATTGGTTGATTGCTGGAATTTACATGATCTAGGGATAGACTTGTGAATTTTATAACTGTGAGTTCTTGCGTTAATGCTTGTTTTATGAAAAAGTACTAAGGGATTAGGCTTTGGATTAGAATAAAGAATTAAATTACCAAGGGATTGAGATTTAGTTAATTATAGAAAGAGCTGTTAATAATTTAATCTTGAATGTAATCGTAAGAGTAAGCAAACTCGTTAAGAAACCATTGGGGAAGTTGAATCCTAACTACGCCTTTTATTGAAAACTTAAATCAATTTCTTTTAGCTTTAATTAATTTTGAATTCAATTTCTAAAATATTAAAAACCAAAAATAAGTTTATAAATTCTGTTTTTACTTTAATCACAATATTCTCCAGAAAATCTTTAATGATCGATCCAACTTTAATTAAATAATAGATTATTGCTTGGTCATCAGTCCTCGTGAGATTGACAACGTTCTTATCACTTTATTACTTGTACGATCGGTGCACTTGCCGAGTTCGTCAACAATAGCCCTATCCCCACACATCAATTCTTCTGTCCTGTCCACTCACAAGTCACCCTCACACGCTTTCTCTCAATATTTTATTTTACTTTATTTTTTCTCCGCCTGCTCCTTCATTTAGACTTCTTAGGGTACCTAACTTATTGTTCCTATTGTTCATACTTATGTTAGGGTAGCTATTGTTCATAAGTAGCCGATTCTGTCAACACACGCGCTACTTCTGACATGAATGCATAAACTTATTCAGTCAACTCCTGTTGTTAAAATAATAGATACGAACTACAAAAGAAGAAAATGATAATCGGATGGATTTGAAGGGAGCTCAAAATGGGAAACAACATGATTATTCTGCACGTTTGAAAGCTCCACGGAAATTTTTGACAAGTTTAGGTCACAGTGAAGCTTAAGGAGATGAAAATGAATATGTGAATATTGCTATTGAGCTTATTAGATGCTGTCAGAATGATATTGGGGAGCTTGGAATATTCTCTGGCTAAGGAAAATAAAGCTGGTCTAGAGAAAAGTTGAGAACCACAAAAACAAAAATAGATGAAATCTTGGTCAATGTCCAAGCATAAGAGAGAATTTTTCAGCGAGTATAATGAATTGTGCGGAAAATGGGCCCTAAATTCCACTAAGTTTAATGAAGACACCACTATACAGCATCAACCAAAAGGGGGACACCAAAAAAAGATCCATCAAATAAAAAACAACGTTGATAGCACTCTCCAGCACACTTCCAAGTTCCAACCTCGTTTCCCACTGGGTCGGTCCAGGAATGCCGTCGAACAGAAGATATATATAGGAATGCCGTCCAACACAAATACATATGTATAAAAGTGGGATCTACTAATTAAGGAAAACGATGGTCACCTATATATATACACACACACGCACGAGGGGTAGGATGTTTTGTTATCAGTGTCAAAAGTTTGATCTCATCTAAGAGTCATTAGATCAAAAAAAAAATAACAACTCTGATATGCAATGGTTGACCCAGAAAAAAAAAGTTTACGTTTGCAAACTTAGGGTGGGGGTTCGGGGACAGCGCCCCCGAAGTTTTTTTTTAAAGAAAATTTTAAATGTATTAAAAAATATATAAACAAGAAAAGAAAAGAATTACAGGGATTGGTTTGGTTGGATCCATGTTAGTTAAAATTTCAAATATGTGATTTTATGATTTTACAATTTTTTTAATCAAAACGATTTCATCAAAATTCCAAACACTTTTACGATTTTATGATTTTTTACGATTTTTTTTATGTTAGGATTTTATGTTTTATGATTTTTTATCCTCCTTCTGATTTTAGGTAAGATCCCTATTTTAACTACCATGGTTGGGCCTATGTTTATTTTTTTTTAATATTCCTAAAAAAAATTTCTTTTTTTTACTTGACCTAAATCACCCACCCTTTGAAAAAATAAATCTTAAACTTGTGTCTGCAAGTGCAGACAGCGGCAACTGTGTGTGTCCGCCACTGCTGATGTGTAAACATATGACACCATTAATTTTTTTTATCTAACGGCTCTTAGATGAGGTGTCAAACTTTAAATTTAACACCGGTGTCAAATGATCATATCCCTATATATATATATATATATAGGCTTTTTGACCCTTTTGTCCTTCATTAATTAATTAATAATCATTTTGTCCCTTATCCAAAACTATCTATCAATTTGTCCCACTTTAATCGATTAACTTGAAGATTTAATCGATTAAATGATCAAAACTGGCAAAAATGGTTGACTTGAAGATTTAATCGATTAAATATCCCTCTTAATCGATTAAATATCTCTTTTAATTGATTTAATCGATTAAAACTTATATTTAATCGATTAAATATCTCAAATGAGCGTGAAAACATTGATTGAATGAGACAAACACGATATTGGAGATTATTTGAATTTTTAATTTTTAATTTAATGTAATAGGAGTTGATTGCGATTTGTAATTAATAGGAGCTGATTGCGTTCTATTAAATACAAAACGCAATCAGCTCCTATTAAATACAAAACACAATCAGCTCCAATTAAATACAAATCGCAATCAACTCCTATTACATTAAATTCAAAACTCAAATAACCTCCAATATACGGAAAACTGGTTGAAGATTCTGCTAAGTATTTTTATGATGAATATGCAAGACGGGAAGGGTTCGTTGTTCGCCTTGATCGCTGTCATCGTTCCGAGGTTGACAATAGGATCACTTCGCGCCGTTTTTCATGTAATAAGCAAGGTTTTCATGTGAGAGGTTGAAACGGAGCCAGACATGTTCATGTAAATCAATCCAGTTTTCAAGAATCGTTTTATTTTTTCGTGCTATTGCTAAATCAAACCATTAGCAGTGTTTGCATTTGCTTATCTATGCAAAAAGACAAAAAAAAACTTTAACTACTACAGATAGATTTTAACCTATGTAGCACCGATACGACACGCGACACGTGACATGATACGACACGACACTCTGACACGTCAATCCTAAAAAGTTATGGATTTCAACACGTTGGGACACGTTTTAATATTAAATAATATTTTTAATTTATATAGTGTATATTTCTTTTAATATTTAATAATTTAACAAAAAAATGAAACTAAATTAATAATATCCATCAACACGTTATAAAGATGGAAGCTTTAATAAAAAAAATAAGAACTGGGATGAGATATATATATAATATCAGATAGAGAGATCAAATCATATTAGAGAGAGAGATCAGAGATAAGGAGATACAACAAGAGCATGATAGGAATTGACAACAATGATGCTGAGATGATCTCTTATCTACTTAAAGGGGAAAAAAGACAAAAAAAATAAAATTGATATGATCAGGTGGAAGCTTTATTAATATATTTAATTTTTAAAAAAAAATTATAAAAAAATTACGAAAATGTCATTTAACCGTGTCGGACACGGTCAAATTCGCGTGTCGGAATGGTCAACGTGTCGGAAAAAGTTGACCGCGTGTCCGACACCGTGTCGGAGCGTGTCGTCGTGTCGGACACGACTCTCCCTGTTTTTACAAGTGTCTGTGCTTCCTTGATTTTAACCATCAACCAGTACATTGGAACACAAATTCTCTCAAAGAACTGAAAATATTTCATATTTAAAAAAAAAAAAATTCTCAATTTCCAAGAATCGTTTTTCTTTTGTTGGTTTCTTTATTTGTTTGGTTATCTATGCTTGTTGATTTGCTTCATATGTAAGGAATCTGCTTTTGTTTATGGAGGAGAAGTGACCTTTGTTGCCTGTTGGGAGATTTAATCAATTAATTTGAAGATTTAATCGATTAAATCTTCAAGTTAATCGATTAAAGAGGGGCTTATTGGTAGATAGTTTTGAATAAGGGGCAAAATGATTATTAATTAATTAATGAAGGGTAAAAGGGTCAAAAAGTCTATATATATATATATATATATATATATATATATATATATATATATATAAGTGGTAGGATCCTTTGATATCAGTGTCAGAAGTTTGACACCTCATCTAAGAGCCCTTAGATAAAAAAAAAATCGACGACTCTGATGTGTAAACATGTGACACCATTGATTTTTTTTTATCTAACGGCTCCTAGATGAGGAGTCAAACTTTAAATTTAACACCGGTGTCAAATAATCATATCCCTATATATATATATATATATATATATATATATATATATATATATATATATATATATATATATATGGGAAATAGAAGTATCCTTTTGAATGACACAAGCTTGTGTCATTTTAGGTGTTTTACACAAAGTATGATCGGTCATACTTTGTGTAAAACTGAAAAGTTGCTTTTTTTTCTCTCTCTCCAGTCACATCGGTGACGTGTAAAGTGAAAAAAAAAGTAACTTTTCAGAATTACACAGAGTACGACCGGTTGTACTATGTGTAAATCACTAAAAGGACACAACTTGTGTCCTTTTGAATGACACACACTAAACCCTATATATATATATATATATATATATATATATATATATATGAGGTTTGTTTTTCTCATGTTGCATGAGAAAACAAATCCTTCTTACACACACCATAAAAAAGTGTGTCACTCATTTTTTATTTTATTTTTTTAAATAGGTGAATCTCACACTTAATATATCTATGACATGAGATTAAAATTCTCTTATAACATAAAATTTATTTTTTCATATATATATATATATATATATATATATATATATATGTGTGTGTGTGTGTGAAAGCTAGAGAGGCTGCCGTATGTACGTTAACATTATTGAAGACTGGAGTTTTAAAAGTACATACATATGAGAGGGAGAATTTAAGCAAGACTCAAACTATTTAATGGATAAAGCTCATTATTTATGATTGGTATTTGGTATCACAATTAATTTGAGCTCTTATC